GCTCTGTGCCTCTAGATACAGAGATGAAACACATAGTACCTCAAAGGAGCTACCTAGTGGAACCAGATAGAAAAATATGGATAACTCAGTATGGCACATGCTCCCTATGAGCTATGCACAGTGTGAGAAAGAAGATGAGGCTACATTAGGAAAGTACTTCTGAAGAATCTAAGTCTTAGAAGGCAGCTAGAGTAGGTGTGGACCGGGGGCAGTGGAGCTTTCTAGGCACTGGGAACTTGTTCAGAGACAAGGGAGGTGAAGGAGCTAATATGTTCATGGATATGCAATCCTCCAACCTGGCTGGAGTCCAGAGGTCATGAGTATGGTATAGGATAAAGCTGTGTTCACGGGCCAGATCCTGGAGTGCTCTGTTGCCGTGTTTGGGAGACAAGGAAGGCTCTGTGAGAGGTGGAATAACAAGTTATTTGAATAATATGTGGTGGGTATACTGCCTTTCAACCCAACAATTCCACTTCCAGGAATTTATCTTACATATGAGTTCACAAAAGTGACCAAAAACAAGTACATGGTAGAAAAAGGTAAACAAAAATATGTGCATAGTGGAAAAAAAACTAGAAACAACCAGAATTTTTTACAGGGTATTGGCCAAATAAACCATGAGATGACCACATATATACTTAAATACTAGGCAGTGATTTTTAAAATAGATAATTCCAGGGACGACTGTGTGGCTCAGTCGGGGTTAAGCATCTGCCTTCGGCTCAGGTCATGATCCCAAGGTCCCGGGATCGAGTCCTGTGTCGGGCTCCATGCTCAGCAGGGAGTCTGCTTCTCCCTCTGCCTGCCGCTCCCCCTGCTTGTGTGCTGTCTCTCTCTCTCTCTCTGACAAATAAAATCCTTAAACAAAATCTTTATAATAGATAATTCCATATTAATAGATAATTCCAAGGTATTATACAAAGATATTTTTTGAGTAAAAAAGTTGGAGAGGGACTTTTATGGTATCTAACATTTTTTGAAACTCTGAATAACTGGCCAAAGGCTACCACTTGTTACATGTATATGCTGAATACATGGTTTGTGTTGGTGTTCTCTGTACTTTTTTATGTTTGGGAACTTTCGTAAAGAAAAGAAAGCAAGTCACATAGTACGATGTACAGTATCCTGTTTGTATACAGAATGGTTTCTATACTTCCATGTTTTTGTACACTTAGAAAACAGCTGATAGGATGCCCACAAAACTGAAGCCGTTGGAAGGGAGGAGAGATCATCAGAAGTGGGAGAAAGACTACCTTTTACTTGCTGCTTTCTGTACTTTGGGGTTGATTATTTTTTTTGTCAGGCTTTGAGAGGCGATGGAAGGGAAAACAGTCGATGAAGAGCAGAGAGAACGGATGCGGTTCAGCACGCCCTGAGGAGGCTGGGCATGCTGGCAGTCCATGAAGCAGAGGCCGCTGACCCTGGGAACTGCAGACTGCGGTCCTGCTGAGAAGGATATTAATCCTTTTGGGTCTGCACTGCAGGGTAACTGGCAGGTAGACCTCTTACCGAGTGTGGCAAGGTTAGGCCCTTAAGAGTTACTTGAAAATTCTTTGCCAAATATATTTAGTGATTCAAGTTACCCTTGTCACTTAGTCATCACAGTGTCTCACAGAGACAGCAGTTGTATTTGGTTCAAGGTCAGCAGCCTCCATATTGTGTTTGTGTTTTCTCCCAGAGAATCCAGCCTCAGCTCCCAGATGAAGATGGTGATCACAGTGACAAAGAAGATGAACAGCCCCAAGTGGTGGTTTTAAAAAAGGGAGACCTGTCAGTTGAAGAAGTCATGAAAATTAAAGCAGAAATAAAGGCTGCCAAAGCAGGTATGTCTGAAAGTAATCTGGTTTTTCTAACAGTGTAGGGAGCCTGGAATATGAAATTGTCTTATGTAATAGTATGGTATGTTTGAAGGAGACAGTCCTAGGTTCAAACTTTGGTTTTAACACGCACCAGATACGTGATCTTGAACAAGTCATTTCACATCCCAGCCTCAGCTACCTCATCAGTCAGTGGGGACTATAATGGTACCTACCTTACCTGGTTGTTATGAGGATTAAATGCAAATTTAAATAAAAACATCCTGTTAAAAAAAAATAGGTGGTTAGTTTTACAAATTAGTCAACAGAGTGTATTTAATCAGTACCTGAAACGTGATATGCTACATGGTATAGTTTTCATTTTTCCTGAACATTTATTACATTGCTTTGAGGAAAAATCCTGGAGTTCCAAACAATCACTTTTCATAATACTTAAAAATACAGCGTGACTGTAATTATTTGGGGACTGGCAATATGATGGAGTACTTCAGGAAGTGAGTGTTTTTTAAGGGACTACATGTCCTGTGGGTGTAGCTAGAAACAGTGGAGAAGACCAGACTGAATTGACTTAGAACATTGTTCATTATCATCTGAGATGTTCTTGCCATTTGAGTCTCTAATAAAAACAAAATAATGAGAAAAAGTTCTTTAACTTTGTTTTTGCTGCAGATGAAGAACCAGCTATAGTTGATGGAAGAATCATGTATCGAAAACCAGTCAAACGTTCCTCGGATGAAAAATATTCCGGTTTAACAGCAAGCTCAAAAAAGAGGAAGGCAAATGAAGATGAAATAAATAAGCAGGACTCAGTTAAAAAGAACTCACAAAAGCAAATCAAAAACAGTTGCCTCCTTTCTTTTGACAATGAAGATGAAACTGAGTAAGTGTAAATATTTTGGACTTAGTCATGCTTATGAGTATATGGGATGTTTTTTACAGTGACACTTTTTTTTTCCTATTTAAAGATAATACAAGTTCATTATAGAAAATTCAGAAAAAATTTAGTATGATAAAAATCGTATCTACCAATACCCCTTTGACATGAGGCTAACTCTGTAGATATTAACTACTGTTAACATTTTGGAACTCCCACGTGTGGGGTATTTTTTAAAAAAATTGAGATTATATTGCATATGTTTTCTGTCCTGCTTTTCACATGACATTATATTCTGAGCATTTTTCCAGATCAGTAAAATTCAAAAATTTAACATAATTGCTACAGAGAATTTTGTCATTAAACAGATCTTCTTCATTAGCAGAAGCCCACTTTGGAAGAAGATGATAATGTGCCTATTTAAGAATAGTTCCCCAGCTCCTGCTAAAGGTAGCCATATAACAATTCTGGCAATTTTAGAGATAAAAGTGGATCTTGTACAAGTGAGCTTCTAATAAAAGGGATCTTGATAGAAGAGAGGATCTAATGTATAACATGGAGACTGTAGTTAATAACACTATAAAAAAAGAGAGATACAAGTAGAAGTCTGCTTAATAAAGCTACCAGGCGTTTGATACAAGAAAGCAGATCTGGCAAGCACAAACCTTTGTCCTTCTCGCTACATCCTGCTACATCCAGGAGCACATACATGAAACCTAGGAGTATTGGAGCCATTTTTTGGCCTAAGGAAGGCAGATCCTTTCTCTGGGTGGTACAGTGGAAAGATTCAAGGCACTTGGATCCTAATAGCATGCCTCGAGGAGCTGCTGCACCAGCCACGGGCTGCCAACCTCTGGACTTGTTACACGAGAATAAACCAAAAGTTGTTGGTCAGTAGTACCACTTGCTGACACTTGAGAATTCAATGTCTTCTGCCCTCCTTTTCCCTTAAGAGGCCCCCGTTAGTGTTGTGCTCTAGAATTTGTCAACCTTAAAAATAAAAGTCAATTATTTTACCGGTATAATGAGTATATTTGAGAATAGAAGACAATTGCAATTCAGGACATACAACCTACTACAAAACCGTAGACAAGTCAGGAGGGGACTGCTCTTTTACAGAGGAAAGGGGGAATTTGTGGAGTTGTTGTTATAAACTAAATGTCCATTGGAGTACACTGAGAGTTTGAAACGTAATGGCTTTTCATTGGCTGAGTTGTGACGGGCTCATTGGCTAGGCTATTGCCAGGCAAGGAGATAATCTTCTTTCTTCCTGCTGGAGGTTAGTAAAGTAGGCTTCTTGTTAGGAATGCAAGGTATGGCTCTTTCTGTTGGTTCTGCAAAGGGCTGCAAGGTGTCGTATGTGTGAGCTCCTCCCTCTGGCCTCCCAACTCTATTTTAAGTGAAATTTTCTTTATTTAGTTACAAATTCCAAACAAGTACAGCCACATACTAATCAACGTACTTATGTTCTCTTCTATTTCCAACCCTCTTTATTCTCATGTAACTTCTCCTCACCAACCCCCTCCCCGCTTCTCCCCACAACACAAACACACAAAAGTCCTACAACACAAGTTTTTATTTAGTGTCAGCAAGGCTCCCTTTTCATGGAAAAGAGAGGTCTAGAGCTTGAAGTGAAGATCCAACAGTGGGAGGTATCAAAATCTAAAAAAGCTCTTCAGGGTACCCAGAAGTACACTTCACAATGTCCACTCAAATCCCAATAATTTCTTTTTTCTCTGATTAAATCTGAATTTTCTCAAGGATAAACTGGTCTTAAATTGTGTTCTATTTAAATCTACTTTCTGATGTAATGTCTTTCAGACATTTACTTTCTGTAGATTAAGGATGAAATCAGCCCAATTTCAAGAATGTTTAAAAAAAAGTTCCTAAAAAACACATTGAGAACCAAAAACTAATGCTGAACTTAGCTTGTTTTCAGTAGCTAGATTTATATACGTTTGGAACATCTATAACTCAAAGCCAATTAATGGCAGTTATTTATTACATACAACTTACTTTATTTTCAAGACAACCCTAGTAAGTATCCTCATTATTCTTCTGAGGAGGATGGGGAAAACAGGCTGAGAGAGGATCCGGTCTTACTCCCATTAAGTGGCAGAGAAGTCCCCAAACTCAAGACTATCTAGTTCTGAGTCGATTTTCTTAACTTTCAGGACACATTGCATCTTGCTCAACATACAGAACATTTGTCCCAGCTGAAGACTGAGTCTTAAACTCCTAAGAATTTTGGAGAGGGGGGGAAATGGCACTTTCATACAAATCTTTCCACGCTGGTTATATCCCAAGTTTTATTCTCCAGCATGAAGCCTCTGATGTCGAACAAGTGCTGAGCTGTGCCTGAAGGATTTTCCACATTCAACACATTCATAAGGTTTTTCTCCGGTATGAATTCTGTAATGTTCACTAAGGTGTGCTTGTTTGCGGAAAGTTTTTTCACACTCACTACACTTGTAAAGTTTCTCTCCAGTGTGAGTTCTCTCATGTTCAACAAGGGAGGAGTTCTGAGTGAAGGCTTTACCACATTCAGTACATGTGTAAGGCTTCTCTCCTGAATGAATTCTCTGATGCTGCATGAGGCATGCGCTCTGATTAAAGGCTTTCCCACATTCATTACACTTATAAGGTTTATCTCCAGAGTGACTTCTCTGGTGACGGGTAAGGCAAATGCTTTGACTAAAGGCTTTGCCACATTCAGCGCATTTATACGGTTTCTCTCCAGTATGAATTCGCAGGTGTTTGATAAGGGATGGACTCTGACAAAAGGCTTTGCCACATTCAGTGCACTTATAGGGTTTCTCTCCAGTATGAATTCTCAGATGCTGGACAAGGATTGCTTTTGTTTGAAAGGCTTTCTCGCATTCATTACATTTATAAGGTTTCTCTCCTGTGTGAATCCTCAAATGCTGAGTAAGATTTGACTGTTTACGGAAACAAGTTCCACATTCACTACATAAATAGGGCTTCTCTCCTGTGTGAATCCTCTGATGCTGGGTAAGAGATGATCTCTGAGTAAAGAATTTCCCACATTCACTACACTTTGAAGATTTCTTCTGCATGTTAAGTCTCTGAGGGTTCATTTGCAGTGAAATCTGGCTGGAACTCATGCTGCCTGTAACACAAGGAATGTCTGTCCAATAGGTTCAGGTTTAGAGGAAACTCTCAAATTCATGACACTTAACAATGAACGTTCTCAAAGATGATTATGGTTACAGTAACTCTGTCCTAGGAAAGCTTTGGGTATATGTGTGCATGCACTGTTCCCTTGGGCATTCCTGCAGGATACCCCTTCTCTTCCTTCTTCAGCATGCGTCTTTACCTTCTCCAAACACAAACCCAGATGACCAGGTTCTCTGACCCTGCACATCTTCCACAAGTCATTTAACACTGTTGCATCAGGCTTGGTCATCTTGTCTGGGTGGAAAAAAAAAAATCAAAAGGGAAAATGTCCTCTGTGCAGAACAGGGGACGTGCATTGTGGAATCTTGATTTTTATCCTCTTCTCAGTAATTGAGATAGATCACAATGACCTGGAGAAAAGATTAGATAATAGGGAGAAGAGATTAAGTAGTGACACATACTGGGAAATCTATAAAATTCCCTATCGTGATTGATTCTGGAACACTTAAATACTAAAAACGAATCCAGGTAATTTAGGATCATCCAGAGTGATAAATAGTAGAATGTGAAAGGGATAAGTATACCAATCTTGGGCAAATTAGTGTTAGGGAAAACTACCTACTTACCTACAGTCTCTACTACTCAAAAACTAGGTGAAGAGTAATTATATTTCCTTAGGTTGCCTGTAAGCAATATATTGCTCGTGCTGCTTGAGAAAGTACAAGCTTCTATCATTCTTTAGAAATTAGAGTTTCTCTTTAGGATTTCAAAGGAGGGGCGCCTGGGTGGCTCAGTAGGTTAAGTGTCCAACTCTTGGTTTTATTTTTTATTATTTTTTGAAGATTTTACTTATTTAACTGACAGAAAGAGACGGCGAGAGAGGGAACACAAGCAGGGGGAGTGGGAGAGGGAGAAGCAGGCTTCTCGCTGAGCAGGGAGCCTGATGCAGGGCTCGATCCCAGGACCCCGGAACCATGACCCGAGCCAAAGGCAGTCACCCAACCAACTGAGCCACCCAGGCACCCTGACTCTTGGTTTTAACTCAGGTCATGATCTAAGGGTCCTGGGATCAAGCCCCATGTTGGGCTCCCTCCCAGACCCCATAGAGGGAGTCTGCTTCAGATTCTCTCTCTCCCTCTGCCCCTCCCCCTGTCTCTAAAAATAAATAATTAAAAAAAAAGGTTATCCAGGCTGTAATTTTTACTAGGTCCATCACACCAATCCTTCCTATTCACTTACCTTGGTTAAGTGTCTTTTTGGACTTCTCTCTCCAAAACATTCAGCATCTGTAGCTCTCCCCTCTGCATCCATCTGGAAGACCTTTAGGTTTGAAAACTAGAGCCCTGCTTACTGAAAGAAAGTAAGATTGTTTTGTTTAGAGGAAAAATAGGATGGGGTGGTCCTTGGGGAAGAGATTCCCGTTGGACAGTAACTTGACTATAGCACCATGGTCCAGAATCTGGCCCTCACCTTTGACACTAATGAAGTGCTTCAGAATCTGATATACACTATCAAATTCACAAAATAATGTACAAAACAGTCACCTTTCCTGATCTACAATGAAAAATTTATATGCTCAATGTCCGGCGGGTTGACACATTCTCTCCACTACAGAAAAACTATATGGGAACCGTAATCATTGTCATCAGGACACTGCTTAGAACTGGAGAAAGAGAAATACTTAGATGATCTTGGTGGCATCAGACTTTGAAACCCTGATGCTCTGAATAAGGGCACAGAGAATCTGAGAACAGATATTCAGGTGCCACACATCAGCAACATCTTCCCTGGATGGTGCTGGAGACACTGACACATTACACATGAATAGATCCTCACATTATAATATTTAGATAATACAGAAGGATATAGGATAAATTAGTCATTTTTTTATCACCATCCCACCCTACCCATACAAGCCCATTTCCTTCCCAGAGATTATCATTATTAAGTTTGGAGTATATTCACTCAGTCTTTTTTCCACATATTTTTATACATAGACCATTTGATTCTCTCTACATAAAATTGTTCTATAGGTTCTGTGTTTCACTAAAGAATGTGTCTTCAAGATCATTTCTTATTGGTACATATGGATCTACCCTGGCTAAGAGTTAGTTGGTATACACTGGTATCTCTGCACAAATTATGTATAGTCAGAGACTGATCTGATTGGACAGCACTGTACTGCACTGGTTGTTAAATATATTGAATATTTTTCCTGAATGCATCTATCTAATGTATAAACTTCCAGGATAGATATTTCTGTCTACAAAAATTAACGCCAGGAGCGCCTGGGTGGCTCAGTCGTTAAGCGTCTACCTTCGGCTCAGGTCATGATCCCAGGGTCCTGGGATCGAGCCCTGCGTTGGGCTCCCTGCTCTGTGGGGAGCCTGCTTCTCCCTCTCCCACTCCCCCTGCTTGTGTTCCTTCTCTCTCTGTGTCTCTCTCTGCCAAATAAATAAATAAAATCTTTAAAAAAACAAAAATTAACGCCAGGTGGTTTAAATAGCTCAACATAAAACCAAAACTCTAACCACGCTTTTATTTCCTTCATTTTTATTGTCTCAAAAAGTTTTTTTTTTAACCCTACAAAGAATGCATACTCATTCTAAAAAACAGTCAGTTAGTCCACAAAGGAAATTACTTGAAATCCTACCACCCAGTGAAAATACAGTTAGTTTTTTGATGACCTTTTTTTCTAGGCATCTCTCAATGCATATACACATACACAGACACACACGTACATGTATTATGCATACATATTAAACTAGACTGAATTCTTCAGGCCATAAATGGTCACAATCTATTCATAGAGTTTCCATAGCCTAAAAATCCAGTTCATACAGTACTATTCTTACTGAATTTAACAGATCCCCAAGCTCCATGTTGCCTTCTGATGCCCAGTAACAGTGAAGTTGCTCTTACTTAGGCTCTTGTTCCAAACAGAGCCAGGAGTGCATTCATATTCTCTGAGGAAACACTGAAATCACTTTTGCCATGGGTTGTCCAGTAATTTCCTACCAGTTTTCCACACCTGACGGCTACATCATTAGGCATTAGAGTTAGCAGTTCAGTGACCAGCTACCAGGTAACTGCACAGGGGGTAGCTATTCTTGCTACAGTTTAAGTACATGTGATATAAAATTAGTACATTCTCTGATCTGTCCTATAGCCAATTATTCTGTTGCCTGCTTCCACAATGGGCCACACTCACTCTGATTTTAATAAGGTGGGACTATTTTTGGGTGGTTCTGTGTTTTCAGTCTGCAGGGTTTAGGTGTAGTGGTCACTGGTGGGTCCCACTGTAAGTCTGCCACCACTTCAGAATGAGCACCCCCGTAAGAACCCATCCTAGGCGCTCTAGTTAGATTTACACTTACCCAGAGATAAGCTGTGAGGAACACAAGCGACACTGGTTTGTCTCCTGGGGGCTTCTCTCGAGGAAGGGCAGGAATCTGAGGCATGGAGGGAGGAGAAAAAAAAGCACCCATAAATTGTCAGCCTACTTCCTATTCTGAATTCAGAGGAACTCAGAAATAGCCAATCCCTAACCAAATAACTATTTTAAGTCTGAATGAAGAATATCATTATTTTCTTAAAAGTGTATCACCCATGGGGCGCCTGGGTGGTGCATTTGGGTAAGTGGTTGATTCCTGGTTTCGGCTCAGGTTGTGATCTCAGAGTGGTGAGATCAAGCCCCACGTTGGGCTCCAAGCTCAGCCCAGAGGCTGCTTAAGGCTCAATCCTTCTGGGGCGCCTGGGTGGCTCAGTCATTAAGCGTCTGCCTTCGGCTCAGGTTGTGATCCCAGGGTCCTGGGATTGAGCCCCGCATCGGGCTCCCTGCTCAGCGGGAAGCCTGCCTCTCCTTCTCCCACTCCCCCTGCTTGTATTCCTGCTCTCACTATCTCTCTCTCTCTCTGCCAAATAAAATCTTAAAAGACTCAATCCTTCTCCCTCTGCCCCTCCCACATGCACCCTCTCAAATAAATAAATCTGAAAAAAAAGTATCACCAATGACAAAAATCAGTAAGTGGCTTGTCTTCCAAGAGATCTGACAATGCACAAAGGGGGCAGGTGCTCCTAAGGACTATCCTGAGGTGAAATTTCCTCCACAAGTGATAAGTTGGAGGGGTGCCTGGGTGGCTCAGTCCTTGAGCATCTGCCTTCGGCTCAGGTCATGATCCCAGGGTCCTGAGATTGAGCCCCACATCAGGCTCCCTGCTCCGTGGGGGGCCTGCTTCTCCCTCTCCCACTCCCCCTGCTTATGTTCCCTCTCTCGCTGTCTCTGTCAGATAAATAAAATCTTTAAAAGAAAAAAAAAAAGTTGGAGCCAAAGGCCTCCCCAAACCGACTGGAAAAGCCATTGACTTCAAAAGTCAAAAACTGGGGCTACAGTAGAGGACATTAGAACAAACACTGGCCTGAGTCAAGAAGTCTGGATTCGAGTTTGGGCTTTGCCACTAACGTGTTCGACCTAAAGCTAGTCACTCAGTCTTCTCTGTGATTTGTTTTCTATCTGTGAAATGAAAGTGGAAAACTAGTACCAACATTCTGTGATCCTTTGATTCTAAAAACACATGGGAAAAGAGCAAAAGCCTTAAGTCCAGTCCATCTTTGATTGAGGATGGTTATTCATTTATTTGAAAATACTAACTGCGCAGGTACTATGTCAAAAATGAGGTCAGCTCTTCTGAGAACAGGCTGAGTCAACATCAAGGAAACTCCTTTCCAGTTATCTTACAACAGAGGCAGAGGAATTTCAGGAAAATAAAACCGCATCTATGTGAAGCCGAATCTCCAAGAAAGGACAGGGGGAGTCTTTTGGAAGATGTTAAGGACCCCTCTTAGGAGGAAAGCTTTTAAGAACTCCCTCTGAACGGAAAGGAAAGAACATTATTAAAAGGCTGGCAACCAGTATAATCCATCCCAATCCACTGGCACCCCCTATTTGACACTGAACAAACTACTTATTTTCAAACTTACTCAACTTTAATATTCAGCTCAAATGTGAACCACTACACATGGCTAATTTTTCTTGACTTGCAAGGCCCTTTCTCCTCAACATTCTCAAAGAATTTTACGTGGCTCTACTGTAGCACTTCCCATTGTTTTGATGCTCTGATTACATTTTGTCTTACGGCATGGGCTCTGGGGCCAGGACTCCCTGGGTTTGAATCCCTGTTCTAGATTTATTAGCCAATTGATCTTGGGTAAGCTATTTAACCTTTCTGAGGTCGTTTTTCAAATGTTATATGGCGTAGATAATAACTACTTCATAGGATTGTGATGATGCATGAGTAATACATGGGAAGTATTTAGAAAAATGCCTTCAATAAATAGTATCAGCTGTTAAAAGTACTGTTACTATTAGAGGAGAATAAAAGCTTAAAGGAAGTTGATAACTCTCACATATAGTCATTCCGCCCGCGCAACTTTGTCAAGTGGCAAAGCAAGGAACAGCATGTGCTTCTCGAAATCGGAGAACTGAAGCAATCAGAAGTTCGCTTCCTCCCTTAAGTACATACAAATGGGACCCAGGTCTCCCGACTCCCAAAACAGAGCTCTCGAACAAGCTTCTCCCTTCCCTCTTCAGGGCCAGCTGGCTCCGACCCCTCGCTCCAGTTTCCCGCGCTCCGGGAAGAGGCGCTGCGGCCGGCCGGCCCCGGCTCCGAGAACAGACCGTCGCAGTCCCGCACGCCCGCTCGACACACACGGCGTTTCCCGAGGGCCTCCGGCCGCACCTGGCGGCACTCGGGCGTCGGAGCGCCCCCGGGCAGCTCGCAGCCAGTCCCTGCCGCGCCGGCGTGACGTCAGCAGCCCGCGCCACGGTCAGAACACTGTGGTCTCCTCTCTAGGAAGGAGTGAGCGGCTTCATCTCTGTGCTTCCTCCCCGGCCCAGAGCTCCGGGGGTTCAGCCCGACACCGGGGCCGCCCCTGCAGAAACAGCCCGCAAACCCACCTCACCGCGCTCCTTCCCAGAGTAAGGAAACCGAACTGGAGGGAGACTGGTGGCCGACCACAAGGCGCTCTTGCTATTCATTCTGCAACCTGGCCACATTTATCTTCCTAAAAACTCTTCCACGTCACTGCCTTTTGGAGGTCTTCCCAAGGGTTTCACAAAGCTGGCTTCAACCTTCCTTACAGTCTCACCTGCCAGAAAATTGGCCTCTTCACAGGAACCCCAAACACCCTCTGCTTTAGGTTCTTTGTTCAACAACTGGCCCTAAGAACGTAAAGAGCTCTGTTTTCAACTTAAGTCCCAGATTATCATCGTGTAAACTTGGGCAAGTTACTTACTTCTCTGTACCTGTTTGCCGACTTACAGAACAGAAATAAATAATGGCACCGAATTTCAGAAGGTTATCATGAAGATTAAATGAGATTAATATATGTAATTACTAAGACCTTCCAGCACTTAAAAAAAGTTCGGTAAATGTTTGTCCTATCATGCTCCGCAAATTCCAGCTCCAGTCCTCTTTGTTCTGCATTGGCTTCAAGGGACCTTACCAGCCCTCAAGGCCCTCATCTCCACTGCAGCAAAACTTCAGATCTTGCTGAAACTCACTCAGAGAATACTTGCACATACAGGCTCCTCTTTGACAGTGTACTCCCGGGATGAAGGCGTGGGTAGCAGAGTACCTGATCCACTTCCAGGCATTCTTACTGATGTGCAAGCTCTGGGAAATAGAGTTGTCTGCTTACCATATCCCTAGTGTACAATCCATAAGGGACCCTCAGGAAATACTTGAAAAAATGAATGAGATGCAGCAGAGAAGTTATCTGCTCAAACTTCCAGACTGGCAACTTAACCAAAATGAAGTCCCTTGAGGAGGCTGAAATCAGGAGTGGAGATGCCCCAGACTAAGGCCATCACTAATCCTGTTCAGCTAAAAGAGGACCCTTTGTAGAACTGTCAGCTGACATGCCAGGGAACAATAATGTTGAGCTCACCTTGCTTTTTACCAAGTGTCATATTCTCAGCACTTGTTTGGAATCGGATAGCAAGTTCTACCCCACCCCCACTCCCTAACATCCCACAGGCCAGAGAGCCTAGGCCTAATCGTTTTTTCCCTTTTAAGCTTCAAAAAAAATCTAAATCAGCAGACTCTGCTGTGTAGGAACTAACTCTAGAGTGGGGATCCCTAGGAAGAGCAATTTACTAGAAACATGAAGCTGGGGCTTAACACAATTTGGGCTGAGCTTCTTTCAATGAGGGAGAAAAAGGATGGGGGACGAGGGTGACACTGGACACCAAAAACATTCCACAAAACTAAGGTGACCTTAGCCCTGCAGTGGCCAGTAGCTGAAGGGGAGTGAAACTGAAGCCACCTGGGGTCAGAGCTAGACTTCTGCATTATATAGGAAGAAAGGTGAAATCAAAATGCAAAAACCAATTTATTTCTCACACTCATTAGCTCCCAGGGGCGCCTGGCTGGCTCAGTTGGTAGAGCATGTGACTCTGGATTTCGGGGTCGTGAGTTCGAGCACCATGTTGAGTGTAGAGATTACTTAAAGTCTTAAAATGAGCTCCTCCCATCCTCACAAGCAGGGCAAGCCTGGAGTCCTATGTGGTCAACTCTATAACAAAAAACAGCTAAAGAGGCATCATGGAACAGAGATACGACCAATAACGAGAAATCTTAAGGAAAAGCGGGAAAGGACACAGGAGTTTAAATTTCACATGACACTTACTAGCTGTGTGACCTTGGGCAAGTCCAACCACCTGTTTTCTCTACTGTTGTTTTGAGGATCTGATGTGGCCTCATCCCATGTCCTTGTGAAGTCACAAATTAAATTTCAGCACGCTGAGAATAAGCAACACATTCCAGTTCTTGATTATCTGGGGCCATGAGCTCAGGAAGTGCTTCCACATTGGGATTGCTAAACTCAATCTCTCTCCTGACAGACCAGCATCAGGATCCAGCTCCTGCTTCTTACTTCAGGGATATTCCAGCTGACATAGTTGTGCTGCTACAGCGGCAAGCATTTGCCTCTTCCTGTCGACCCTGCCATCAACATATCTGAAAGTACTTTGTTAAACTGTGATGGGACATTTTAAATGGCTAATTTGTAACAAAACAAGGGATTATTTTGCTACAAAATATTACTTTTCCTTAAGGGGCCCTCTGCTTAAGACAACCATACAATCTGTGTCTTGAGGCAACGTTCAGAATGCTTGCACCTGGCACCTGGCGAACACTTCATGGACACACTCATATCCTCTCCAAACCCCCTTTCTGCTGGCAACTGTGGACCTAAGTCACAACCTGCATGTAGGCGTGGAGAAATGTCTGACTCAGGATTTTAGTTGAGCTCAGTAAATATTTACTGAGCACATTCGAAGTGCCAGGGACTGTGGATACAAAGATGAATAAATATCACATGGCCCCTGCTTTGACAGAGCTGATAGTTCAGTGGGAAGAGAAAGATTTGGAAACTAGCCATTACAATGTAACATAAATAAGAAGATAAGAAAATACAGAAATAAAAAACATGTGAGGTCAGAGACAGCTTCAAAGATGTTGCCTGAGCACATTCATTAAGTGACACATGGGAGCTTTCCAGGCAAGCAGAAGGCAGGCAGGCAATTGAGGCAATAGGAACAGTCTATGCAAAAGGTGCCAGAGTCCAGCAATGGTATGGAATCACAGGAATTTACACTATGGAACAGTGTGCAATGCAGGGAAGGCAGTGGAGAGTGATGATGGAGGCATGGGCCAGTGGAGGAGCTCTATCTATCTATCTATCCATCTAATTTTTGTGGAGGAGCTTTAGATGCCTTCTAAGGGGCTCGGATAGTCTGAGATAATAGAGCTGCCAGTTGTGTCTTGCAAAGACCATCCAGAAGAAATGTGAAAGACGGCCTCACGGGGCAAGCAACTGGAAGACTGATTGGGAAAATAGGAAAATGGTCTAGGAAATAAACTGGGGAGTGGACTAAAGCAAAAGCAGTGGAGATGGCTTCCATATTTCGGAGATGTAAGCAGGATACAGTGGTTGCTAGGATATGAAGACTGAGTATAAGACTGACCAAAAGCAGTTCCAAGATTTGGGGCTGGCCTGACTGGGCACTTGGCTGGCCAACAACTGGGAGCAAATATTTGCAAGTATGAGACTATGGGATGAGGAGAGTAGCAAGATGACAAATTCCTTGCCTAATCCTGTTTTCCCAGGAAGTGAAAATGGTATCAGACTCTTAGCCTGAGGATTAAAACATTTTTGGATTTTTGGAAAATCTTTCTAACAAGAACTTGGAAATATCTTTCATCCTTAGAGTTCCCACTTGCTCCTTTAGAAAACCCTCCCAATTCTAATCTCAACTCAAGAAATCTAAAGACAGTAGTGTGTACAAATATTACTCTAAATACCTACATATCAGGAAGTTGTGAAAGTTTCTGGTGGGCACAGGTTGATTAAAATATACTAATTCAACAAATATTTATTGGACATTTACTGTGTGCCAGCAATGAATTCTATAGTGTTATTTTCACTTAGAAAGTACAAATACATCAGTATTTCCTTTGAGTACTATAATTTTTTCATGAACATCAAGTTTTAAGGGTTATTTTTGTCCATAAGATATTAACTTACTCAATTATGAATTGCCCTGTGGCAGGTTTTGAGAATATAACCTTCACAGCTGCAGAGGAAGATAGTGATGTTTCTGCCACATTCCTATTAATGGTGATTAACAGTTCAAACCAATGCTTACAAGATAGCTGTTCTGGGAAAAAAAAAATTAATGCTGAGTTCTAGGTAACCAACCATTCCAGAATCAACGGACTTTGTTTTTTAACAGTCATTATTTTAAAAATTATATAAGCTTCAGGGCATAGAAACTATTACAAATAGCAGTCAAAGGCAATCCCCACCTCATCTCTCAAGAGTTCAAGCTCTGAGTAGCAGTAAACAACATGAAAGGGAGTAAAGAAATAAAGGAAAAACCATGCCCTTTCTCTTAAAAGAATAAAATACCATCATGGTAGCAAACTGTACTATCTCAATACTCAAGGACTTCAAAAAGAGGTAGTTCTCTCTAGAACACTTTCCAAATTTATTCCATGAAAGTGTCTCCCTAGCTACTCCTAACCTGCAGGGAAGGATAAATATCCGAGAATAAGATAGTCCCAATAAAAATAGAAGTATCTGAAATCTAACACACCTGCTTAAAGCCACCAATGACATAATTACATGAAACCTAGGCCTCCCTGATACAATGACCAACACTCTCTTGAGGACTGGTCCAGAGCCCCAACTCCAGCCAACCTAAAAGGCTGTCTTCTCTCTTCATTAATGGTTTCTCCTCCCTAAACGTCAATTAACCGTTGTTTGGACATAGTTAATCCTGGTGGGTCTCTCTCCCCTGGACCCTACAAACCAGTGGCCCAAGCAAACTGGACTAAGTGTACACCTTAGTCCAGGCTGGGATATGTAGGTGACCTGCTCAGTCAAACACAGGCTTCCTGCTCTGGGCCTCAGCACCAGCAGTCTAGCGCAAACCATTTTCCTCCTGGGTGAGTCAGTGTTCCTCTGGGACAAAGGTTGGCCCTTCTTCTTCCTGGCCCTCTGAGCAGATCTGACTCCCTTCCCACAAACTGGCATCATTCAAGATAAATTTCTCTTGACCTCCTACTTCCTTTTTGGCCCCAAATTGCCTTCCAGCTTGAAAGGATCAGGAAAGATCTCCCTTACCCTGAGAAAGCCTTCTTCTATCTGTAGACATCAGCCCAGTTCTTGCCACCTATCCCTTTATTTATTGAATGAATGAACGAATAAGGATTCTTTGTTTTCCCTTGTTTCCATCTCCCCTTCACAAGGCCGCTTCTAACAGATGGCATGTTCAGAGCAGCCTCAGGTATCAGGAGGCTACTTAGCACCACCTCAGCACTGCTAGCACTTTCACGCTGAATGTCTGGGAAAGCACCTCAGCCTCCTGGCCAGAGAACGCAGGTCACAAGGTGGGACGCGGGAGCAGGGCTGCAGTAAGGGAAACGCAAGTGCTAACTTAACAAATGGCACCTCAAGGCATGAGAGTCACAAGGGGAAGGAGGAGTGGCAGGCAGCGAAGATTTATGCGAAGAGCAAGAACTTCCTTTCTACCCTGTCTTCCCAGACGCCCAGCTGGAGTAGGCTCTGCATTCTCCAAGCTCCCGCCTCCATAAGTGGAAATACTCTTCTGAGTATAATACTCGGTGTTCCTTCATCCTTCCCTCCAGGAACTCTACCTGCCCCACCGCCTCCCGCCAGATTCCTAGTCACTCTTTCTAGAGAAGCTGCCATAACCTGAATGCCAGGGTTATTCACCATTGTGAAGTTTCTGATGTCTGAAAAGGACTGAACTATGTCTGAAGAATTTTCCACATTCAAAGCATTCATAAGGCTTCTCACCAGTGTGAATTCTGTAATGTTCACTAAGGTGTGCATACTTGCGGAAAGTTTTCTCACATTCACTACATTTATAGAGCTTCTCACCAGTGTGAGTTCTGTGATGTTCAGTAAGAGATGAGCTATGAGCAAAGGCTTTCCCACATTCTTTACATTTATAGGGCTTCTCTCCAGTATGAATTCTCATATGCTGAGTGAGGCAGGTATTCTGATTAAAGCCCTTCCCACATTCACTGCATTTATAGGGTTTTTCTCCAGTGTGACTTCTCTGATGCCGAATGAGGCAAATGCTCTGAATGAAGGCTTTACCACATTCACTGCATTTGTAGGGTCTCTCCCCTGTGTGAATTCTCTGGTGCTTAGTAAGTGGGGTACTCTGAGTAAAAGCTTTGCCACATTCCTTACATTTATAGGGTTTTTCTCCAGTATGAATTCTCTGGTGTTTAATAAGGGACGGGCTCTGACAAAAGGCCTTGCCACATTCCTTACATTTATACGGTTTCTCTCCAGTATGAATTCTCTGATGCTGAGAGAGGTTTGCCTTTGTTTGGAAAGTTTTCCCACATTCATCACATTTATGGGGTTTTTCCCCAGTGTGAATTCTCTGATGTTGTATGAGATTTGAGTGTTTGCGAAAAGAAGAGCCACATTCATTGCATAAATAAGGTTTCTCACCAGTGTGAATCCTCTGATGATGAATGAGGTGTGTGTTCTGATTGAATGCCTTCCCACATCTATTACATTTGTAAGGTTTCTCTCCAGTGTGAATTCTCTGATGTTCAGTGAGATGTGAATGATTGCGGAAGGAATTCCCACATTCATTACATTTATAAGGTTTCTCTCCAGTATGGATTCTCTGATGCTGAGTAAGAAATGATCGACATCGAAATGTTTTCCCACACTGCTCACATCCATATGGTTTTACTCCGGTGTGAATTCTTTGATGCTGAATAAGGAAGGAACTTCGACTAAAGGCTTTCCCACATTCCTCACATGCATAAGGTCTCTCTCCAGTATGAGTCCTCTGATGTTGGGTAAGGGATGAGCTCTGAGTAAAAGTTTTTCCACATTCATTACATTCCCAAGACTTTTTCTGTGTAGAGAGAGTTGGGCATTTACTTTGGTCTGAAATCTCATTAGTGTGTATGCTACTTGTCTCCCACTGATGTCGGCTCTCTTCTGTAGAAACCCTGAGATGTGTAACAAAGCTAGAGGTCAAGAGCAAGCTTTGCTCAAAATTATATTCTTGGCTAATTGTTTCAGGAGATGCTTCCTTGTGGATAAAAGTTATTTCCCCCAAACCTCGTTCTTGAAAAAGGCATGGTCCAGGAACCTCTCCAGAAGGGTTTTCCTTCATGCTCTCACATGCATATTTTTTTTCAAATATAGAATCCTGGTTCACATCCTCTGGTAATCTCTTTGCTACTATCCCTGGTGAATTAATTTCAGAGACATCCTGCTCTGGAACAGACCTGTCCATCAAATCTGAAAGAAAACATCAGAATGAGTATCTCTTGTGCAGGACAGAGGGGAAGTCCCCGAGGCTATAGGGGCCTAATTCTGACATATCTCAATAATGGCATATAAACAAGGGCCAATAAAACCTAGTGGAGCAAGTAATTCAATTATAAGTGGTGGAAGAGATCTGTATCAGGGTAAGGTTCACCATTAATAAGGAACCCCATGGAATGGGCATCTACAGACACTTAGGAAGCCAGAGAAGCAGAGACAATAGAAATAAAGGGAAAGTAACAAACAATAGCAAGCTAAGATTAGGTCAAAAGAAGAAAACATGGACAGTGGGAGAATGTAAAAGTAAATGCTGGAAATGAGACAAAATGAATACTGGGGGAAAGTTGGCCCCAGGAGATGTTCACCCACATCTGCCCCCAACATCCCTAAAAGGGTAATTTTATTTCCTGAACTTCAATCATTTTCTCTTGTAAAATTTCCAAAGCCCCGCTGTTTCTCCCATTGGTTTTCCCTTGCTCACGCACCTGGACAAACCTCTCTTCCAAGCTCTCTCTCTTCAGCTCCTTGCATATTCAACATCCACAAATCTTTTCTTTGTTTTGATTGGAAAACACTTCAGAGTTGGAAAACTGGGAACCCTGCTCATAGGGGGAAAAAAGGTGGGGAAGGGGATATCACTGTCCCAGTAAATAGGAAAATGAGAAAGAACTGTTGCCTAGGGATACTATCTAATAATTCAAACAAAATATGTTCGGATAGCAATGTGACTGCATCAGCAAAAATCATGGTTGGCTTCCAGCCTTCTAGCTTCACAAATTCCATTTGTCAGCTGTGTAAAAAGTGATAGCCAGACTGATATACTAGCAAACACTCAAGCGCTGGATGGATAAACCAGAATGTTATTTATAATGATAAAGATACCTATGAAGTGGATAGAAGTATTCATGTTTTTATACAACAATCTATATGAAAGGTCAATTAACATAATCAAAAGTTGCATAGGGAGAGACGCCTGGGTGGCTCAGCTGGTTAAGCATCCAACTCTTGGTTTTGGCTCAGGTCATGATCCTGGGGTCCTGGGATCAAGCACTGCATCAGGCTCCATGCTCAGTGGGGAGTCTGCTTCTCCCTCTCCCTCTCCCTCTGCTCCTCCCCTATTTGCATGCACATACTCCCTCTCTCTCAAATAAACAAAATCTTTTTTTAAAAAGTTGCATAGGGAAATGGCCTCATAGCAAGGCTAATGCATTAAGTTTGATCCACCCATCTCCACTATATGCCAAGGAGCTGGACAGTAGTTAGGGAACTCTATTTGTACAACTTAGAGATACACTGATTGCCCTTTCTTCTAGGTGTCAGATCAACTAAACAGTTTTTCTTCAGACAGAGCTCAACATTAAGAGTGTAGGCTGCAGGGGCACCTGGGTGGCTCAGTCATTAAGCATCTGTCCTCGGCTCAGGTCATGATCCCAGGGTCCTGGGATCAAGCCCCACATCGGGCTCCCTGCTCCGTGGGGAGCCTGCTTCTCCCTCTCCCACTCCCCCTGCTTGTGTTCTCTCTCTAGCTATGTTTCTCTCTGTCAAATAAATAAATAAAACCTTTTAAAAAAAAAAAAAGAGTGTAGGCTGCAGTTTAAAAAATAAAGAAAAGGGGCGCCTGGGTGTCTCAGTTGGTTAAACGTCCAACTCTTGATCTCATGAGTTCAAGCCCTGCATTGGGCTCCATGCTGGGTGTGGAACCTACTTAAAAAAAAAAAAAAACACAACAAAACAAAAAACGCTGATATTGTGAAATAATTTTTGACTTACAAGAAAGTTACAAAAAACAGTACAGAGTTTCTGGTGTCTGGAATGTTAAATCACAACTGTTCATCCAAAAATGTCTCTCCACATAACCCTGAAGTGAGAAGTAGAATCAGCAGCATTATTTCAAGGAAAAAGGAAGACAGAAAGATGATTTTACCATAGCAAGAGCTCAGAAGGCATATAAGAATGGCATGAGTCTGCTGAAGTACGCAGTAAGGCTGGTACTATGGACTTCTCATCAAAGTCTGCGGCTCTGTGTTGAGTTTTAAAGGTTTAGGAGGATCCTATCTGGGAGGCTCCTGGGTGACTCAGTGGGTTAAGCATCTGACTTGATTTCAACTCAAGTCATGATCTCAGGGTTGTGAGATCGAGCCCCGCATGGAGCCCCACCCGCATGGAGCCCCACCCGCATGGAGGCTGCTTAAGAATTTTCTCTCTCTCCCTCTTCCTGTGCCCCTCCCCCACCTATAAGCATACAAAGAATCCACCACACAATCCTACAGAAAACCATGAAGTAGAGTGGGGTTTCAGTATAGTCAGAGTTAGACAGTGCACAAAAAGTCAGACATGCCCCCACCTGCCTAGAACTTACATTACAGCTGAACAAAGACATTAAAGTGCAGTTACAATTATGGGAATTACAAAATAGGAAATATGGGATACAGGAATGTAGAGCAGAGGGAACCTAATGTAGTCTGAGGAAGAAAGCCTCCCTGAAAAAGAGGTAAATAGGAATGAAACAGGTGAAGACAGAAAAGAATATACCAGATATGAAACAGAACATACAAAAGGAAACAAGCTTAGTATTTTGGAAAAATTAGATCCAGTAAGACAAAGTATTAAGCACCAAAAATAAGACATGAAGCGAGGCAAGCAAAAGCCAGATCAAATACAACCCTGAGAACTATTTTAAGGAATTTACCTTAAAGTGAGTAGAAAACCACAAAAAGAATACGAAAAGGTTTGGAGGAGGGGGAAGTGACATAAGTATATCTGCTGTTTAAAAAAAAAAAAAAAATCCTTCTGCCCGTAGCAAAGAGGGAAACTATATGAACGGTGGAAGGTGGGGAAGCAAGGTGAAGGCTGGAAGACCCCCTGGGAGGCTGTTTCTGCAGTCCAATAAGGAGACTGGACCAAACTAAGAGACAGAATCCACAGGATTGGATAAATATTGGGGGAGAGGTGTGAGCGAGAGGGAGAAATCAAGATAATTTGCTGGTTTGGTTTTGAGTGATGACAGCGACCTTTAGAGAGAATGGGAACACTGGTTTGGGGAGAAAGAAGATACATTTAGTTTTCAAATATCCAAACAGAAAGTAGGCATACATATCTGGAAGAGAGGAGAGAGGTGTCATGAAGAGATTAATTAACATCCTGGGAGTAACAGATAAAAACATCAAAGGAGTGTGGCTAGGAAAACCTCAACAACTACTTTACATATTAAAAGGAAGTTTAACTCTGGCTTCTGATTTTAGAGATTCCTAATCCCCTGAGAGAAATAAATAAAAGAATTTAATGTGATAAAATTGGCATTTCTAAAGTCATAAAAAATTATTTATAAATTATGTTGGAACTGTTGCTTAACTACCTGGAAAAAACACGTAGTGAGATTCCTACCTCACCCCATATACCAAAATAAACCTAAACTGGTTAAAGGGTTAAATATAAAAAATGAAACCACAGGGGTGCCTGGGTGGCTCAGTCGTTGGGTGTCTGCCTTTGGCTCAGGTCATGATCTCAGGGGCCAGGGATCGAGCCCCGCGTCGGGCTCCCTGCTCAGCAGGAAGCCTGCTTCTCTCTCTCCCACTCCCCCTGCTTGTGTTCCCTCTCTCGCTGTGTCTCTTTCTGTCAGATAAATAAAATGTTTCTTTAAAAACTGAAACCACAAAATAAAATATTAAGAAATGATTGACTTTAGGGTTAGGATTGGCTTTTCTAAGCAATATGCAAAAAACACAAACCACAAAGGAGAAAACTGGATAAAAGTTCTGATCACAGAAAAGCAACAATCTCTCTAACCAAAATACAAATAAAATTAAGTGACAAACAATCTAAGAAAAGTATTTTTTATTGGGACGCCTGGGTGGCTCAGTCGTTAAGCGTCTGCCTTCAGCTCAGGTCATGATCCCAGGGTCCTGGGATGGAGTCCCACATCGGGCTCCCTGCTTGGCGGAAGCCTTCTTCTCCCTCTCCCACGCCCCCTGCTTGTGTTCTTTCTCTAGCTGTCTCTCTAGGTCAGTTAAATAAATAATTAAAGTCTTTTTCTTTTCTTTTTGTTTTTAAGATTTTATTTATTATTTATTTAGCACAGAGAGACACAGCGAGAGAGGGAACACAAGCAGGGGGAGTGCAAGAGGGAGAAACAGGCTTCCCGCCGAGCAGGGAGCCCTAGGCGGGGCTAGATCCCAGGACCGTGAGATCATGACCCGAGCCGAAGGCAGACTCTTTTAACAACTGAGCCACGCAGGCGCCCCTCTTTTTCTTTTTTTAAGATTTTATTTATTTATTTGACAGAGAGACAGTGAGAGCAGGAACACAAGCAGGGGGAGTGGGAGAGGGAGAAGCAGGCTTCCCCCAGAGCAGAGAGCCCGATATGAGGCTCGATCCCAGGGCGCTGGGATCATGACCTGAGCCGAAGGCACTCGCTTAACGACTGGGCCACCCAGGTGCCCCTAAATAAATAAAATCTTAAAAAAAAAAAAAACCCAAAAAAACAAATTGGAGATTTTCTTTTAAGTGTTAAAAGTCAAGACTGGCAAAGGTATGGGGAAAGATGGCTTCTCACACAAGCAGTAGGAATGTAAACTAGTATCATCCTTCTAGAGATAATTTGGCAATATACATCAGGTTTTAAAGTTGTAGGTTGAGTTGCAATTGGAATACTGGGGTCATCATTTTGTAAGTACAGGAACTCAGAAAAGAATACTAAGTATATACAACACTTACAATGTATCTCAGAAGATTCTCAAAGGCATCAGGATGCCTATAAAATGCCTATATTCTTTGATCTAGTAATTCTACTATTAGAACTTTCTCATAAATAAATAACATCTCAGGGCACCTGGGTGGCTCAGTCGGTTAAGCACCTGGCTTTTGATCTCAGTTCAGATCTTGATCTCAGGGTCGTGAGTACAAGCCCCGAATTGGGCTCCATGCTGGGTGTGGAGCCTACTTAAAAAAAAAAAAAAGTAACTTCCCAAAGAAGAAAAAAGCTGAACTCTTTTATTACCTGTAAAAAAAATACCCTGCAGTGTTGCTGGGAAACACAATCTTTTTACCAATGGACACTGAGGCTTAGCAAATTATGGTACTTCCTCTTGGTGGAAATTATAAAGACGTTAAGATAATTAAAAAGGAAAATATGTAATCATTTGGAAAAATACTTATACTCAATGTAAACGAAAAAAAATGGAGGATATTAAAATTTCAAGTACATCATAACATCGTGTATGTATGTTAAAACATGCTTTCTTTTTTAAAAACTAACTCTAATCTTAAGAATATGTATCAAGTTGTTAGCCATGACCATCTCTGGAGAATAGGATTATAGTAAACTTTTGTGTTAGGGCCTATCTTTGTGTAATGCTTCAAAGTTTTCCTGTAGGAATAAATAGCTTCTGTAATCAGAGGGAAAAAAAATGAAAAAATACGATCAGAGATGGGCACAGAAATGTATGTACAAAGATCACGCTGTTACTATAATTGTAAAACAAGCAAACATTGATGGCAAATCAGTATGATAGATTTTGTAACTATTAAAAATCATATTTTCAAAAGACATTCATTAGAAAATACAGAATGTTAAAATAGGAGAATACAAAATCAAAA